AGAGTTGATCAGAGTTCTTTTACTCGCAATTACTTTTATTGTAGTTAATTTTTAAAGTTGATCATTTGGTAGCGTTTGTCGTCGAAATGCGCTGAGCATAGCTAACGTGCTTCTTCGAGGGGACGAAATCTTTCCTTTGAATTCAGACAAACCGCGCCTTTTTCTTCCGTGAAATTTTGTCCGATGAGAAAAAAAAAACAAAATACAGTTATTCTTAGTGTGCTATTTTTTTTAAACAATTGACAGCATTCGGGGCCACCAGCCGCACAAAAAGTTTTCCTTGTTTCTGGCGTTCTTTTCGCCGCCATTTCGATCTCCTCCTCCATTCGCTTTATTATGTCACAGCCTTTTTTAACATATAGATAAACTCCCTGGTTTTTTCCTGGCATTGATAATGAAAAAGCATTTCTTTGCCAAGTTCCTCGTCAAAACCCAAAATTCCAGCTGCTTAATTAAATGGGGCACACTTCGAGGTAAAAACTTGTCAAGGAAGTCATGAAGAACGTGTACGTAAATGAAATTCGGCTCTGACAACCTTCACTTGACAAGCACCGTGGACAAGCCTTTATAATTTGCAAATATATGTTCAAAGCGAAATATTTTCCTTGACACACAATAATCAAGAGAAGAAATTCCCCTTATAAATGCGACAAAGTTGAAATTTAATGACGAGCAACTAGGTAATTTTCAGGTTTCTGCGGTCCCAGATTGTTTCAGTAAGTTTCAGTTCTGCAGTAAGTGAAGACCGTAAAAATCACTAGTTAAAATAAAGCGGAAAGTGCTGAAGATGTCCATTGCTATTGTACTAGCGTTCACTTTATTGGACTTTTTTCCTCTGAGCACCATAATAATCAAGTGTTGCGGTTTTCAATACTTTGCACATGCTGCTTTTGGTCTTGCTAACTCACCTTTAAACCCTTTCATTTGTTTTATTCGCTGTAGAGGCCATCGAAAAGATCTCAAAAAGTCCATAAAAAATGTCTTTCACAAGAAAGTAAATTTTCAAACGTATGTTTTCGAAAACATACGTTTGAAAATTTGTCACTTGCAACCCGACCCAAGCTCTATATTTTTCGTTCTGTGCCAAGGATCTTTCGCTCTGCATCGACTATCACCATGTATTTATCAACTGAACACATGGTAAAGAAACGGCAGGGCTCCGCATCGTATAGTTCCGTCTAAACAGATGTTATTTAATAATCAGTCATTTAAAACTTGCTTGACATGAGAAATGAATGTTTCCACGGGCATATTTTCCGCTTGTGTTAAATTTGAATATTGCAAGAGAAATTTTGAAAAACTCTCTACCCTACATTAGGCTCTACCATGCATCTAAAGACTTTTTTTTTAGTTTTCACCAGATGTAGACATCTTTAACAGGAATTGATGAACAGTGAATGAGTAACTTCCTAAATTGAATCCTTTCGCGTGACATATACTTTGTTTGTTTGTACTTCATAGAAATTTGCATTAACTTCATTACATTCAGATCACGGATAAAAAAAATATATAAAAGTTGGAGTTTTCCTTCAAGACATCAGGTCTGGTAAAACTCAATCTGTGAGGACTGCTCGCCAAATAAGTACATTCCAGTATCAGAGAAATGCCAGTAAACGACAGCACATCGGTCTATGGAACACACCCAGTTATGCTCCTGCTACTTTGCGTCAATCCTGCGTCACGTAGAATCGGAGAAACAATCGCTTACTGCCTCTTGTTTGTTATTTCGCTGGTTGGAAATACCCTAATTGTGATAATTGTGCACAAAAATAAAACCATGAGAAATCACATATACATCTTAATCGTAAACATGGCCGCGTCTGATCTACTTTATCCGATATTCCTGTTTCTGAATAATTTAGAAGAAGTTTATCTCCATTCTAGTTTAACCAATGGTGGTCTTGGCGAGGCTTTTTGTAAGCTCGCTCCCTTCTCAGCAGATGTCTCTACCGTTGTTTCAATTCAAAGCCTGGTTCTAGTAGCAGTGGATCGATTTGGAACTGTCGTTTTTCCGCTTCGATCTCCATTTATCAGTTCAAAGCTGTGCTAGATCCTCCTTTTTGCCACTTGGATCATATCATTGGCTATTCATTTACCATATCTACTTACCTTTTCACTCGTCAAGAATGTGGAAGGGTCAAAATGTGAACCGCAGTGGAATAAAGCCTTCGGAGATTCGTTGTCCTTAAAAATTACATTCTAAGCGGTCCTATTTTACTTTTTTGTCTTCCTTTGTTTCTGATTTTTTTTTACTCTAACTCACAATCTTTTTAAAACTCAAATCACAGATGATTCCAGGCGAGCAGTCAGCCAATGACGTCAAAGAACGAGTAAAAGGAGAGCGGAAAGTCCTAAAGATGTTCATTGCTATCCTGTTGGCATTTACAATATGCCGGATTCCCTACGTTATAAGTTATTCAGTTACTGAAGTTTTTTCCACCGAACAACTTCATGATTAAGTCTTACGTTTTTCAATACTTCGCGCAAGTTGCATTTTTCCTTGCTCACTCACATTGTTCTATAAACCATTGCATTTGTTTTGTCTTTAGTAGAAATTATCGTAAAGGTTTCAAACATCTCCTTGGGCTGATAAGTTCTCGTCCACCGAGACGTTTTCAAGTTTAGTTGGGGCTTGAGAGAAATCATGCAGAGCTGTTCAGACCAGCAACCAGCATTGACGGGGCACCCGCCAAAGGGTTCCAGGACCATTAAATCGGAATTATAATTATGAATTGTTCAGTGTTTCGTCACAAAACAATTTCGCCAGAATATTTCTACTCGTTGTTACATGCAAATTTACCCTCAACACGAAGCAAAGCCCGAATGAGTTAAATAAATGAAACAAAAAAGTATAACAGAGATTGAACTAACAATGAACGAGGATAGACGCTGATCACTATCGAGATGATCTTGTAACATTTAGAATAAACTTTTGCAAATGCAGAAAATTTTGACAAGGACTGTCGGAATGCCATAATGAAAGAAGAACACGAACAAGAACAAGAAGTGACAAGAAGAAGAAGAAGTAGTAGAAGAAAATAATAATAATAAGCTACAATTTTATCCCAAGCATGACTCTTCTTGATCTGGTCTGTCCTTGTAATTTGAGCAGAAATTGTGTGCTATGATTAAATGATATTTTCTTTTCTGTTGTGAGAGCATAGGTCAATTGGACGTTTGTGATTCAATGTTGGAAAATAAACTTCAAATACTTCCCCGTTAAGTGCGAAGGTGATTGAAAACTCAAGAGGTACTGATGCTTTTCCAGCCGTTTAGCAATGTTGTGAACTCATCACCAAGTCTGCTTTGAGATCCAAATGAAACATTAATATTGAGATAATGTTTGAATTTTT